AGAGAGAGAGAGAGAGAGAGAGAGAGAGAGAGAGAGAGAATCTTCTCCATTCTCTTTCATGCGCAGAGAGAGCCCATTTACTTCATTTTCATGCACCCGCACCCTCATCCCGCCTCATTCCCTGTTCCCCACGCAAGCATTCCGATCTCCTCCCACCCGCCAACATTGTCGTCTTCTCGCGTTCCCTCCTCCCCCTTCCTTCCCCAACGCCACCAACATCGACGTCTCCTCACATTCCCTTTTCCCCCATCCTTCTCCTCTCCCCCATCTCCCGATCGCCGACTTCACCTCCCCACAGACTCCTTACCCCCTGCCTCCCCTCTTGCCTACGGCTGCTTCCTCACTTGGTCGCGATCATCCTCCCCCACCCCTGTTCCCCGACACTTTTCGTCGGCGACGACGACCAAGACCCCTGAGGATGGCTGGTTGGCGGGCCAGCCGAAACTAGTCAGGTCCCTGCCGCTGGGCCGATTGATGTTATCTTCCTTATTAAGTCGCGTTCGGGATTTTGTCCTACTTGCGTATTATCCTCCTCTTCGTCAATAATCTGTCGCCTCATCTATGCATCTTTCTCGTCATTTTTCTGCTTCGTTCTGTCTGTCCTGTTTTTCTGTTTCGGTCTGTCCCGTCGTTTCATACGGATTGATGATTACTAACGAAGTTGTGGTACACAGACTACTTTGCTCGTCTATCACTCTTTTCTCTCTCTCTCTCTCTCTCTCTCTCTCTCTCTCTCTCTCTCTCTCTCTCTCTCTGTCTCTCTCTCTTTTCTTGGTTCAGTGTTTGAGTCGACTATTTGTCGGATGCTGGATACTCCTGAAATTTTGAAATCATTTTCTTTGTTTTTTTTTGTCGATACAAGTGCAATTTTCACATTGCCTAGCCTGTTGGTGAAATCCTCTCTTCTAGTCACACACACACAAAAAAAAAAAACATTTCAGTGGAGGAAGGGTTTTCCATTTTTTTTTTTTTAACAGGTACCCCTTTTTTATACTATTAAACGGTTGTTTATATGGTACCCATTGGAGGAAAACATTTCATTTTGTTATGAAATGCAAAGTTGATTTGTAAAAAAAAAAAAAAAAAAAACCATTTCATTCGGAGTTCTTTAGTCCATCAGGTTTTCCGAACTCAGCTTTCCCTATTAACAGCTTTGAGCTACATTTCAGGGCATACTCACACTAGCACAACCTCAAATGTAGTGGAGGGTAGTTACGGCCCTAGTTGGATGTATCTGACCGCAATTACGTCCAGAAGTAAGTATAAAATTCCTAGTGGGAGTATTCACGTCGCTCCACTACCCAACACTCTACGTGCATTTGGACGCTTTCTAGACCAGGTGCATGGGACGAGTTCAACATTTTCAATACATCTGCTACAGAAAGTTGTCCAAATGCATGTAGAGTGTCCTGATAGTGGAGTGAGGTCTCATGCCAATGATTTATTATTATTATTAATTTATTTTTTTTGGTTGTCACAGAACTGTTCATTCCTTGCATGAAAAAGAAGGTGCCGACCACCCCACATTTTTCGGCCATTTCTCGATTTACGTGTGTCATCCTTGCGCGGCGGCCATGCTAATCTTCTCTGTATCCGTCCAATTTTAACGGATGTTCCCCGGAGGACCAGACCAATGGTTGGCTGGGGATGATTTTGCTGCTTGTGTTTGTTTTTCAGCTATACTTGCTCACACTCTCTTTCATCTTTTCATAAGTGCCACAGCCTTGAGGTATTGTCACTGTGCGAAAGAAAAAGAAAAGAAGAGAAAAAAAAAAGAAAAGAAAAGAAAAAGGGAAAAAAAGAAAAAAGTTGCCATTGAGCTGTCGGGTTTGGGGTAAGTCTAGATTTATATATATCTATTCCATAAGGATTTGAACTCTGTTGGTTTATCAACAGTTTTTGTAGAGTTATATGGGTCTGCCATTCGGCCACACGAGCTTGGTGTTGCATCAATGATTGGCAGCCCATTAATTTCCCCCTCGTGTATTTTAAACATCTACCCATTGTCCCCCTTTTTTTTTTTTAATTACAAAGAAAGAGGACAGTGTTATTACCAAATAGCAACATTCGGAGGCCGGGAATCCCTCCACAAACAACCTGGATGAAACTGCTGCTGGGACCATTACCCAGTTTAGGTGCAGGCATTGGGGTAATGGGTATGTTCAGTGACAGATATGGCCAACTCACGACCGCTGACCTGACATTTTCCAACCCTGAAGAACAACTGAAGGAATGCCTCCAACGCCATAAAAGACAAACAAGCCTACAAGTACTGAGTACCACCTTCCTTCCTACTCGAAAGAAATAACAAACCTCTAGTAACCTGTAATGAACCCAGATCGAGAGACAATTGTCAACAATGCAAGTCCAGATAAATGTCCATCGGCTGATGATTACTAATAATAAAAAATCGTGACCAGACAGAATGAGGTGAGATATCATACACAGACGAAGAGAGAGGAGGGAGAAGAGACAAAGGAGAGGAAGAAAAATGCCCACTCCTGCTTCGGGCTCCCTCCACTGCCACCTCAACAATCAATAGTCTGAACGAACATCCGAGTATCCTCAATGTGCCACGTGGCACGTCTTATCAGTTCCACATCAGCATCTGGAGCAATGTCGACATGAAGACCGCCAGGTACGTATCCTCAAACTCTCCACAGTCCTGATCTCCTCCTGAAGTGACGACGAAACAGAACAGCAATGCCGATCATGTAGTCCCCGCAATAGAACACGTGGACAGCAGCCACGTCAGCCAAATAAAACACGTGGCAGCAGCCACATCAGCAAAGGCGCATGGCAGCTGCCACGTCAGCATGCCAAGAAGACAGGAGCAAGCCGGCCACCATGCCGGAATAGCAGCGCCTCGCCAAGTTACAGAGCCAGCAGCGTCGAGCCAGGGTCGCAGCGTCAAGCCAGCGTTGAAGTCAATGCATGCAGTCAACATCAACGCAAGACAGAATGAATGTCAAAGCCAGGAAGTCAACTCTTATGTAGTGTTGACGCGGGGTCTGGACCCTGGACCCCGGATGCTGTATCCCTCGGCCGTCCAGATCTCAATGCGAATGAGGGCTCAGATCGGCCTGAAACCGAATTCCCTCCAGCCTGGATGCTGTCTGGGTACCTGCGCACAACAAGTGAGTGTATCCAACCCAGGGCCTGGGTGCGGTACCTTTGACTCTACAGTTGACTTTGACTCTTGAATTTCCTGTGTGCAGCGTTCGGTCACACAGCCACACTCGACAGACTCAGGCCTGGGCGTGTCTTGGTCACACAGCCC